GGGGGCTGGCACCGCGTCGGGGGGGTTTGTCTCCCCAGGGGCCGGGGCTGCTGGGCCCCAGTCCTGGAGCAGGGCCCCCGGTCTGTGCAGAGGGAGCTCCTTGCGTGTCGGGTCCCAGGTTCGTCCGTGCAGCCTCCGGGACTTGAGCTCGTCCCCGGTCCCCATGCCCTGGGGTCTCGCAGGCACCCCAGCCCCAGGGGTCAAAGGTCATGCCCCGCTTGCTCAGGAGGCCTGGCTCCTCCGGCCACAAGTTGGTAAGACCTGGTCCCAGCATCTCCCCTCCCTGCCTCCGCGCAGGCTCTGCCTGCAGGCCCTCTTCTCTGTCCTGTCCCCGGATCCTGGCGGACGCGGACCCTCGCCTGGGGCACACGTGCCAGACGCAAACACAGCTGTCCCCGCTAATTTTAGGTTGCCGGCTCCACTGGCCGAGCTCCCCGGACTGGGCAGCAGCATCCCGGACATGGGACCAGTTGCAACCCGCAGGCTGCACCTGTCCTCTCCGGTTGCTCCCCCCACGCCTCGGCCTCTACCTAGAGCGCGGAGCCAGGGTCTCACTCCATCCTGGGGGCACCACGGACGCCCGAGCCTGCCTCCACCCCGTCGAATACCTTTGACCACGGTTGAACCTCCCCTCCCCTTTTCCACAATTTGCGCCAGCTTCTTTAATGAATGTCCTCCTGCTTTAATGAATGCCCCCCGGCAGGGCAGCAGGGATGGCACCCACGTGAGTGCGGCCTTCCCTCGCACAGTGCCAGGGCGCAGATGCTGTCACGTTTCAGGGCAGGTCGCGCTCGCGCCAGGTCTGGCCTCAGTTTAGTTCAGGATGTCCCGTCCTAGGAATGCAGCACGGGTTCCCCCCCCCGTGTCGGTGTCTTGGTTGCTGGGGAAGAGGCACATGGGGTCTCGTGGCCCAGTGTGGGGACAGCATGTTAGTCTAACGACCAATGGTACCTGCTGGAGGGGTTTTTATGGCATGGGGCTTGCGTGGAGCCTGGGATGGCCCCACAATAAGAGTGGGTCGCTGGGGCCTGGTTCCTTGGTGGGTTTTGCCACCAGGCGTGAGCGTGGAGCAGTGCACAAGGCACCCACCACTTCCCCCTGCAGCCAAGGGAGGCCAATCTCTGACCTCCGCTGCAGGAACGTACTCTGGTGTGACATCACACCACCATGTCATAAGCGTGAGGACAGAAACAGGGCCCGAAGTCCAACTGTGTTTAGTTGCTGGCACCCGGCCCTGCTCTGCAGAGGGGCCCCGCTCTGCCCCCACCCTGCTCAGGCCTGGCGTGCACCCACTCCGCGGCCCCGTCTTGGCTGGGGTGGCCCCAGGCAGCTTCCTTCTCTCTGCAGCTGGCCCCGTGCTGTTGGAGCGGGGATGGGGGCCACTGGCAGCATCTAGCAGGGATCTCCCAGGCCCCGATCTGTGCCGGCAGTGAGGCCGCCGGGCTGCGTGCCCGCCTGGGGCCCTGCCGGGCGGTTGCAAACAGGAAGTGCCGGTGCGCGGCAGGAAACGCAGCCGGGCACCCGGGTGCAGGCGGCTCCGTCGCGCACCTGCTTTCGTCTTCCCAGAGCCACCCTGGGGAGCAGGACCCTGCCGGCACTGCTGTCCCCCGGCCCCTCCGGCATTTCCTCTTCTGCCATCTTCACTGGCAGCCGGGGGCCCCGCTGAACTGGGGACCCTCCGGCCTATGCGGGTAGGCTGTGGGGTTTGGGTTCAAATACTGGCCTCCCGGTTCCTGGCCTGGTGCGTTGGAGCCGTGGAGGGGGGGCGGGAGTAACAGTGGCCCTGAATCCACTCTTCCTGCCCTCTGCCTGGGAGGTCTCAGCCCAAGCATGTGGGGAGGATGGGGGCTTGTGGGAACCAGCAGGTTTGCTGGAGATGCAGCCCAGAGCCAGGCAGGAGCAGAGCCCCAGGGTGTCTGAAACCAAGATCTCCCTTGTCTTGCTCCTGGCAGAGGTTGGGGGGGTGGCTTTGGGGCACCTCCATGTTAGCCCGTGAGAGCCGTGGCATGTCCATGGGGTGCAGCCCTTCCCGGCAAGCGCAGCATCCCCGCATCACCGGGCGCCCATTCATTGCGGCGCTGGAGAGACTCCTTTGCCTCCTCCCTCGCTTTTGTGAATGAACCTTGCTCTTCCTGGCAGCTGCCCCTTTAAAAGCCGGAGCTTAATGAGCAGCAGCCTCCAGGCCTGGGAAGAGCCCAGCGCCCCTGCCCTGCCCTGGTCCAGGCAGGGTGGATGCAGGGAGGGGGGGCACTTTGGGCAGTGGCAGCACTGAGCCTCCCCCCTGCCCAGATCCACCTCAGCACCAGCTGCAGCCCCCAGACCCCGTGACTCTGTCCAGGGGAAACTGGTGGTATCCATCTGCCCCCCCGCCCCCCCCCCCCCCCCCCCCAAAAGTGCCCATGAGGATGCAGAAGGCGGGGAGGGCCATGGCCTGACAGCAGCCTCCCAACTCTGTCCCATCCTGGGTAGCAAAATACCCCCAAGACGCTGCTTTCTCTTGGGCCCAGGTGTATGTTTGGCCCTTCCAGAGTCCGGTGGGGTGTGGGGCCAATGCCTCCATCAATAAGTAATCAACCCCTCCCCTCCTCCCTCTATTGCTGGGCGAGTGTTTGAAGCTCGCTCGGAAATTAGCTGCCTGGCAACACGCGAGTGCAGATATTCCAGGGCTGCGCCTGCCATTCCCGGCGCAGGGCGGGCGCTGGGGAGCAGGGCTTCAGCCTCCCCCCACCCCAAGTCTCTCTGGCATCTCCCATCCCGATTGCTGCAGTGACACTGGGTTCGAGCACCCACATGTAGCGGCAGGGAGACCCCTGTCGTAGCTTCGGCCTCGGGGTGGGCAGGCAGATACCCCCGCAGAGCTTTCCTCTGCCAGGCACCCCAGTTCAGCCTCCTCTCTCCCGAGCTCCTGGCCCTCAGGCGCTGCGGTGAGGAGACCCCTCCTGGCATTGCTCGATGCCCCTCTGGGCTGAGCGCACCCTGAGCCAGCTGGGAAGCGGCCGGTGAGTCCAGCATCCGGGGACTGCTGTGCCACTTGGCCACTGCCCTGCCGTCCTTGTGTACAGCACCGAGCGCGGCCGGCCCTACTGCAGCCGTCGTCTGTCACGTGGCCGGGGTCCTAATGACCCCCCTCTGTGCAGGTGCAGGGGCTGGTGAGGTTTGTTGACCACCCTCAGCAAGCTCTCTCAGGCTTCCTACCCTGGACTGCAGCAGGGCTCGCCCTGCATTTATGAGGGAGCAGCATGCTGAGGGGTCTGGGTCATGTCCTGCCAGGCCAGGAAGGGGCCTGGAGCTCCCCCCCCGCCTGTCCTGATGCCCCGGCAGGTTGGAGGGCAGGCTGGGACTTCCCTGTATCTTCCAAGAAGCCTGGAGCCTGCGGGGGAGCTGTCTCAAGGCCCCAAAACCAGGCTCCATGGGTGAGCTGCTGCCAGGCCCCTTCCCTGCCTGAGCCCTCGGTTCGGCCTCTCCTGCTTCCCTGCCCTCTACCCTGGCTCCGTCGCCTGCGCTCGGTGGCTCTCGCTGGTCAGATGTGGGGTCCCCCAGCCGCCATCTGGCTGGTCCCCTGGGCCCAATCCTGCAAGTGTGGGGAGCTCCAGCCCTTGAAGCATCCCTACATCACTCAGGGACGTGCTGGGGCCTCGGGAAGGGGCCCAGCTCCCAGGGAGGCTCATGGAGCCCGGGCTCAGCTCCCCTCTGCCTCGTGCAGCCATGGTCAGTCCAGAACAGGACCCCGGCAGAGACTTTCCGGACTGGTCTCTTCTACCACTGCTGCCCTGGGCTGGGAGCACAAGGGGGTGGGACACCCGGCTGCTATCAGAAGGACCCGCCTGCTCCCGTGGGTTGCGAGTGGATCTGAGAAGCACTTAGGCCTGTGCGTGTGTGGCGGGGGGTGGGGTCTGTGCCCCGGCCCCGCATGAAATCTCAGGTCCCATCAGCCTCGCAGTGACCTGCAGCCTCCGCTTTGAGGGGGCTCCTCCAGGGTCTGGTGACATCAGCCCTCCCTGCGGGCTAGCATGCAGAGCTGCCTCTCTGGGTCCCAGGCTGGCTTCTCCCCCTGCTTTGCGGTGTCGGAGCGGCCGGAGCCCCCGGCAGCAACGCGGCGCCTACGTCTTTAAAGCTTTCCCCAGCCCCGTTTGAATGAGCGCGAGGGGGGGGCGCCCGGCTATTGGCAGAGCTCCCCGTGACATCCCTCCCGACAGCCCGGCTGAGCTGCGCTTCCCTGCGCCCGGCACAGCCGTCGGCTCCGAAGTGGCCGCGGATCCAGGGCCGGAGGGAAGGAGGGGGTCAACTTCCACCCAGCTGACCATTCCCCAGCAAGATCCCTCTCGCGGCAGGGCCAGCCATGGAGTCACCGTTGAGCTGGGGGAAGAGCTGACGTGCCCGAGCCCAGAGCGCCGGTGAGTGAGTGGGTGTCAGGAGTGGTGTCTCTGGTGATTCGGGGCTGCGGCGCTTGCCTGGAGATGGGGAATCTCTGCTTCTGGAGCTGGGATTCCAGGGCATGGGGGCAGGGGCAAAGGCGTTTGACCCCTGGGAATGGGCAGCTCTGGCTTTAATGGGGTTAATTCCCCCCCATCCTATCCTCAGGCTGGCACTGGGGTCTCCCCCCATATCCCTAATGGTCACATTACATTGGGGGTGCTGGAGCCGGAGCTGGGGCTGTGCTGGGTGAGGGGGGATGGAGGGAATCCCCCGCCAGCTCTCAGTGTCATTGGGATTCCCCGTGACGGGTGCCCGGCTGCGTCTCGGTGCTCACGTCACTCCTCCTGGCAGGCGCCGCTCGCTCGGGCTGAGCCGGGGAAGCCACCCAGCCGCGGCGCCCAGGGGCAGCCGCACTGCAACCCACCTCACTGCAGGGCCCCCGGCTTTCTCTAGCACGGCCCCGAAGCTCAGGGCGCCATCCCACGCACTCCAGCCTCTGTCCTCATCTCACCTGGAGGGTGCTGGAGAGTCTGGGCTGGGGCTGCCTGGGCCTCGCTGCTTGGGCAGGGGGCAAGGAGGGCACCTGTCATGGCACCCCCCTCTCCGCCTTCTCCAAAATAAGGCAAGCAAATTATGGGGGAGCATCTCTGGGGCTTGGTGGGGGGCTGGAAGGCAACAGAGATGGGCAAACCCCGAACTTGTCTGTACCAGTGCCATTCCCCCTGCCCTCCCCCTGGCTCCCAGCCCCTTGCCTTGTTTCTGGAGCATCCCAGACTCACAGGTGATCTGATTTCCACCCTGTCCATCCAGCCCTGGGTTTATTCATTGGACACCCCCCTCCCCGCCCCCCGCGTCTCCCATGGGAAGCAGCCAAGACCTGGGGGACTCTTTAAAATGTCAAGTGGCCATGAGCAAGCTGCTACCGAGGTGGCGGAGGAGTGGGGGCGGCTGGCGGGGGCAGCTTCTCCATCAGCAGCAGGGGAGTTTCTGTGGGACTGTGCAAATGCCCGGGCCATAGCAGGGACCCAGCCCAGGGCTGCTCTGCGCCTGTGGCAGCAGCTCCCTCTGGCCGCAGAGGGGTTTGGAGCTATTTTTACCCGCTGCGGGCAGCTCTCCTGAGAGGAGCTGGCAGCGTCCACCAGCCCGTCCTGCCTGGCACAGCCTGGCTCTGCTCCTGCCTGGCTCTTCCCAGCAGGAATGGGGACCTTGCCCCGGTCCCAGCCCCTGAAGGGTTAAAGGGCATCCCAGAGCCATGACGTGAGCGGCTTTTCAGGAAACCCCGTGGTGGCTGCCCCCCCCTTCTGCATTGCACATGGTTGTTGCCAGGAGACTGCTCTGACGTCAGGGGAGCATTCCCGGCCTGCAGGCGAATCCCGGCGGAGGGGTGAGGTCTTTGGGGCAGGGACTGGTGGCTGCTCCAGTGGGTCATACAGCACCTGGCGCAGCAGGACCCTGGGTGCCGTGGGATGCAGCTGCCACCAGGCCTCTTCCTGTGGGTTTCAAGGTGCCTGCCCTGGCACCCCTGTGCCCCTTGCCCCCTCCCCCCCCCAAGCCAGGACCCCTTCTCACCTCCCAGAGTTTTGGGGGGGGGTGTAGGGGCCGGTTGGCCTGAATCCAGCCCAGAGCCAAGCACCTTTTGGAGGGCCTGATGGAGCAGGTGGGAGACGCTGCACCGTCTGCTCAGGGAGAAACCACCCGGTTCCCATTCGCCCTCAGCGCTCCCTTGGCCCCACGCCAACTCCCCCCAGCATCACTCGCCAGGTGCCCTCAGTGCCGGGACCCCCAGGCAGCTCTGCCTCGAAAGCTGGTGCTGGCCACCGCACAGGCCCCTAGGCATGTGGCTGCCCCAGCACATTCGGTTACTACGTTCTGGTGCAGGGGCAAGAGGGCAGGCGGGGGTGCTGGGTACCAGGCCTTGCCCTGCCCTCCAGGCAACAGCACTGAGTTTCTCCCAATACAAACCCACGAGTTTCAGCCTAACCGAGCGCACCTGCGCAGGCAGCATGCAACGGCTGCCCACTCGCATGCCCGGCGTCGCTGTCACGCCAGCGTGCATGACGGGGGGCACCCAGTCAGGACTTGGGCAGGGCCGGGCTGTTGGTGTTCGAATGACTTGTGTCCAGGAGAGATAAGAGCTCCTCTCTTCCTCTGCAGCTCTGGCACTTCCATCGGAGTTGCGGGTCCCGGCTCGTAGATTGAGGGGAGGGAAGGATTCCTGGGAGGCAGAATTATGGGTCCCCATGGGGACAGAAGGGTTAAATTGCTGGCTGGTACACCCCACCCCCCCAAAAAAAAGATGGCCTGACTGGCATCTTTGAGCTGGCTCAGGCAGCAGAGCTGAGGCTCGCAGGCCTGAGACTCAGGGTAGGGTCTGGCAAGGACCCCCTCCCGCCCATCCCGCAGCCTCAGAGCTGACCTGGCCCTGCCCCCGGGGTGGGCATTGCAGCTGGCAGCCGGGGCTGAGCCCGGTTTGAACCTGCTGTTGGAGCCCCCAAGCAGCAGCTGGCAGAAGAAGCTGGGGGGACCGATCTAGCACGGGGCGCAGGCCTGGGGGGGCTCCACAAGACATCTGGCCCCGTGTCACGACCCTCTGCCGCACCTCGGGCCTCGTCAGCCCGCTCACTCGCTGCCTCTCGGCACCCACCCGCATCCCTACTGCACCCCCATCCGGCCATTCATGGGTGGGGCTGTGGCCTCTCCCAGCCCATTAGTGCCTGCCCGGCCCTGATGTGCCGCAGAGTCGGTCCTGCCCCAGTGCATTGTGGGAAACTCCCTCGCCCTGGTCCTGTTGCCCCGGCTCTTGGTCCAGCCCAGCCCTGGTGCCGGCAGCACCAGCAGCCTTCCCCCTCCCCCCACCTCTTTTTTTTTTTCTTTTTTTCCTTTCTTTTTTTTTAAAGAAAAGTGAAATCATCATCATCATCATCATAAAAAAAATCCTCGGCCTTGCCTGGTTGCTCATAGTAACTGCGCCCGTTGCCATGGCACCAGGCTGTAGATTGGCCTGCCGGAGGCCAATGAGCACCGAGAATGAGTGGAGGCGTCATTCAACCTTGCAGGATGCGCCTGGGAGGGAGGGGAGAGGCGGGGGGAGGTCGTCTTTGCCCCCCCCTCGTTAGGGAGCTGTTAATTGCCTGGGGCATGTGGGGGGGGGGGTGCAAGCTCCTGCCCCTCAGGACCCTCCTGGCATGTCTCAGTGGGGCTGAGCAGGGGGCTCCACTCATCCCAGCCTATTACCCCTGCACCAAATGGGGGGGGCACCTTGCAGTCCCGGCTCTTCCGCCCCCCATCACTTCCGCTCCTGACCCAGATTTGGCGGCTTCCCTCATGCTCCATCTACGTCATCCCGCGTCTCCCCCACCCCAAGCCGGAACACAGTGTCTCGGCTCTGCCCCGCGTGGGGCCAGGGCTTTTGTGAATGAGGTGGAGGCTGCCAGGACCCTCTGTGCCCGGGTGGAGCAAGGGGCTGGGGGGTGGGAGCTGGGCTGCGCAGCCCCTGGTTTCAGCACAGATGCACCAATTGCACAGGTTTATTTACCAGCGGGGGGCCCCCAGTCAAGGCTGAGCAGGGGATGGGCTGGCATTTTGGGTGGCAGCCACTGGCTTGCACCAAGTTGGCCCTGGCATGGAGCTAGCTCGATCCCTGCAAGCCACTGCCTCCGGGTGAAGCAAGGACCTTGGGTGACCCCCGCGGCCCAGACTGGCCCCTCGCTGGCTCCGTGCCTGGAATGCCACCAAGGGCTCAGATGAACCAGCCTGGCCACCTGGAGCCCTCCTCCCCCTCAGGCTCCTGGCCCTCGGTCACCTCCTGAAGCTCAAAGTCGGAGGGTCCCATGTCCCTCGAGCCTGGCATGGCCTGTGTGGGCTAGCCAGGCCTTTGCAGGGCACCAACCATAGCCAGCACCCACCTTGGCACATGCCCAGCGGGGGCTCTCCCAGCATTTCCCAGTTGTTCATGCCTGGCCTCACCCAGCAGCTCTGGGGTCTGCCTCAGAGCATGCTCAGCTTTCCGCAGCCCCATCTCTGCCACTGGCCACGGAGTGGTGGCGCTGGCCAGTCCTTCTCACCAGGCCGGTAGCCACAATAAAAGTAAACTCGGGTTTCCCCCCCTCTCTTTCCTCCCATGTGGCTCTATCACAGCCTCTGGCTTCAGCAGGGCACAGACATTGCCCCAGCACCATCCTCCATCCCGGAGCCACTACTGCCCTCTCCAGGCTGCCCATCCCTTCCCCAAGCACAGGACTGGCACTAAAGTTTCCTCACTAGACTGGTAACATCCAGCAGAGACGGGCAAACCAGGCAAGGGATCCCTCTCAATTTGGGTGACTGGGACAGTCTGATTCCACCCTCCCTTCCTGCAGCTCCAGATCCACGTGGCTGCAGCGTGGCCTATGCTAGGCTTGGCCTCAGGGCTGGGGGCATTTTGTCAGATTGTGTGCGGTGGCCAAGGGGTCTGCATTGGGATGGGAAGGAGGATACAGCCTCATGCCATGCTGAGCCCCCCTCGCCTGGAGCTGGTTGTCGGGATGTCCTTGAGCAGGAGACGTGAATCTAGAGCTAGCTCCTGACACCAGCGGTTCCTCTGCTCGCAGTTCGGGTGATGGGGGAGTCAGGAGGACATGACTGTCTTCCGCAGCCAGGGGCAGAACTGGGCATTGAGCCTCCAGGCCCTGATACCTGCAGCCTTGAGGCAGGGGGTAGCCGGCTGGGGGTGAGGGACCCCAGGTTTGCCCAGAGCAGGATGATGGAGCCCCTGCCTAGCCAGGAATACGGAGGCGGGGGTTGCGTATGTGTGCGTACGTGGTCTCAATCACTGCTTTTCCCCCCCCATGGTGAGGGCAGGGGTGGCCAGGGCACTCAGAGGTCCCTGGGTTGTCCTGTTTCAGCCCTGCCACCAGCTCTTTGGTCTTGGAGGGGCCCCAGCCTCGTACCAGGAGCCAGCTGCTTCGAGGCATTGAGGACCAGGGGCACTGCTGCGTGATGCCCCTGACACCCCATGCCCCATCCCTGCAGGCGCCCATCACCGCGCCGCGCTGTGCCCGCCATGTCGAGCAGCCCCGCAACACCAGAAAACCTGGAGATCATGAAGGAGGCGGAGAAGCGGCTGGGGGACGAGCCAACACACAAGGCCAAGTTCGCGATGCGGTCGCCGAGCAAGGAGGAGGCAGACAAGGACGGGGAGGAGCCCGGTGTGCGGCAGGAAGCTCAGGTGGGCCTGGTGGGGCAGGGGCAGTGCAGCATCCCCTACTTGAGCCTCATGTCTGGGGCTGAGCCTAGCCCCGGTCACGCTGAGGAGGCTGTGACTGGCTTTGCGGGTTGAGGGCAGGTTCGGGAAGGGGTCTCAAGACCCCGACGGCGGGGTCCGCGCTGGGCTGGTCACTTGTGGCTGGAGAAGGAGCCCTGTGGGGAGGCAGAGCTTGTGTGTGTCTGCTCCTCTGAGCACCAGGGCCTGGCGGGGTGGAAAGCCAGGCCAGTGGGGCCAGGCTGTTCCAGACCTACTCGTTTTGCTGCTGCCTGGGCAGCTCCGGGCATTCTGCTACCCACCCACTCAGCCCCCTTCCCCTATTGTCTCCACAGAGGCGACCGTCAAACCACGGGCACAACAGGAAACGAGCCAAGGTACGAGGTCCCTGGTGCTAAGTGCCTGAGACATCTGGCATCCAGCTATGGGGCGTAGGGGGCAAGGGGGCAATCTCACAGCTCGCCCCCCACCCTCCCCGGGTTTTTGCATGACTCGGTGACACTTCACCTCTGCTGCTACCCATGACGTGGCTCCAACCCAGTCCAGAGGCACTGGGGGTTTTTTATGCCCCTTTCCCCCCTCTCCTTTTGGAGGCCTGCTCCATCCTGGCATGGCCCAGCTGGCCCGAGGATAGGGCCAGGCTAGAGGCCTGCTAGCTGGGCCCTGCAGGCTCCGTGTGGTGAGGAGGTGATTGGGGGGCTGCAGACAAGCCTATGAGGGGCCGTGGTTCAGTAGGTTGGAGGTGTCCCCTGTGCACCCCCCAGCGCCGACCATTCTCCTGGTCTCTTCCAGTCCAACTCGAAGCTGAAGCTGGTGCGGAGCCTGGCCGTGTGTGAGGAGTCCACCAGCCCCTTCGTGGATGGGCTGCTGGAGCCCCAGGTAAGTGTGAGCACCAGGGTTGGGGGCAGAGATGTGGCAGCTCCCGGCAGGGCCCCCCCAGCCATAGCCAATGGCTGTCGGCATCCATGTTCATCCACAATGTACCAGGGAGCCATGGCCATGGCAGAGGCGCAGAGGAGACTTCTGGCCTCGGCCATGGGGGACATTATAGGCCCTCTCGCACTGCCCGACATCACCTGCCCTGTGGCCCAGAAGCAGGGGTCCTTGGCTGTGTGGGGCCTTGGTGGCATAGGCCCTGGCTCCTGGCCTCCTGCAGGGTTGAAGCGGGTAGCTCACTCTGTTCCCTGAGTACAGATGTCCCCTCCTCCCTTCACATCCTGCTCCAGCCTCAGCAAGCCCCACGTCAGTGGAAGCCAGGTCATTACCCCCACCCCAACAAACCCCAGGCTGTGCGTGGAGCCCAGGGCTCAGCCCAGCACCTGTGCCCCCCGCCCTCCCGCAGGACATCATCCAGCTCCATGTCAGTTGCCCCTCGGACAAGGAGGAGGAGAAATCGGCAAAGGACGGAGCCGAGAAGGAGGAAAAGGGCAAGGAGAAGGCGCCACGCAAGATGCTCTCACGAGGTCAGTGAGGCTCCAGGGGCTGGGGGGGTGTGCAAAGGCTTGGTGTGTTTGAGTGGCTCATTGAATGGGAGTCCCCTCCCTCTCCTGGCTCTGCTAAGCTCCCACGGGGCCCAGCACCCACCCCCAGGGCCCGGGTTGGGCAGGGTCTCTTCCCCCAGTTCACAGGCAGAGAAACTGAGGTACAGAGCCAACAAGCAGCTGGCTGAGATTTCACCAGGGCAGAGCTGGGTACTGGACCCAGGCCTCCAGGATCACAGGCGGTACCCAGCCGTTCATGGGACATGGCCACCACCCCTGCATCCAGGGCTCACCTGTACTTCATGCTCTTCTCCTTGCCCTCACCCCATCCGCTCTCGTTCCTTCAGACTCCAGCCAAGAGTACACGGACTCCACCGGCATCGACCTGCACGAATTCCTAGTAAATACACTGAAAAAAAACCCAAGGTTGGTACCGGGTGGGGGGACAGAACTTGGGGGTGAGCATGGATGTCAGGGGGAGGCTGGGAGCAGGCACCTGGCTTGGGTTGGCATGAGATCTAGCCCCTGCAGGGGTGGGGGGTTATCCCCTATGCTCGGGGTAGAACTGGCCTCCCGCCCCGCTCCCAGAACCCAGGCAGCTGGGCTGGCAAGCCGGGAGTCACCAGCAGGAAGATGGACGCGCTCCTGTCCCAGCTTCTGTGCCTGGAGCAGAGGGAGCTGCTGCTTTCTGGGGCTGGGGACAGGAGCTGGGGGCTGGGGTGGGGCTGGTGGCAGCTGCATTTCCTTGTTCTTGAGTGTGATTGCCAACCCCCCCACCTCTGGGCAGGGATCGAATGATGCTGCTAAAGTTAGAACAGGAAATCCTGGAGTTCATTAGCGATAACAAGTAAGTGGCTGCAGAGTTTGTACTTGGGAAGGCGGACTGGGGGGTGTCCATGTCTGGGGGCCATGGGGCTCTGCCTCCGGCCCCCTCCCTTAGTGGCCAAGCCCCACAGAGGGGTCCTACAGCAAGGGGACTCTAACCCACACCTCCCGAGCCCCCATCTGGCACGCAGTGCAGCCTCTATGCCTGGGGTGGAGGGTGCAGCTGGGAGTGTCCTTCACCTCCCGGCTCAGAGCTGGGCTGACTGACAGCTGTTCCTGTTCTCTCCCCACATGAGATAAGTTGGGGGTCAGCTTGGTTCTCAGCACCCATGTGGACACACCGGAGCCGCCCCTGGCTGGCAGCCAGCCAGCCC